GGGACTAGCTCCCAACTGCCCCCTTTCACCCCGACCCACTGCTTTCAAGGTGGGGAGGGGAGAGAGAAAGCATTCGCTAATTACACCCCAGCCTTTAATGAGATTCTTTTACTCCCTCGCTCTCTTTGCAGGTTACAGCCTTATCTGGGGACCCACGTTTTCCACTCTGGCTACACGTCCTGCGAACAATCGCCTCTCCAGAGCCTGAATGGAAAGCAAGCGCCCCATTTCTGCTGAATGGCCGTCTCAGTTCATCTGAGGCTGGAGGGCTTTTGATGGCCACAATACAAGTTACGCCCAAAGAGTGTCTCTTTGGTCAGATCGGCAACGCTTGGTTTCACGTTTGCAAGTTAAACGGGCAAAAACCCAGCCGAAACTCCCACGCCAGACGCCAAGGACATTTCCCTCCACCCTACTCAGAGCGAAACTAGGGAAAGGGTCTGGGCAGGGGGAGGAAAGGGGGATGCTGGCAGGGAGGAGGGGTGGGGGAGAATGGGGTCCTGCTTTTCAGCAGCAGTCTAGAAGTAGGTGGGGGATGCATTTTCTTTGGCATTTCTTTCTTGTATTTTTTATATATTTTTTTCTTTGTTGACAGCTTTACCCAAACAAAAACTAAAGCGAGAGCATTTTCTCCTTGTCTTCACCTAGGTAGCTGTTTTCCTACAGCCCCCGAAAATGTGACTCCTTCATAAAATCAAAATTTATGATTATTCAAATGTTGGGGACTGTGAAAAGAGAGGAAGAAAGAGAGAAAATTAATATTGCAGCTGTTCTTCTGATTAATGAGAGATAATTGCTCATGAGAAGTCACCCCTGTGGCATTTTGTTGTCTCCTGGATCTTTGTTCTTTTCCACTATTATTGAGGACTTTCTTGAAGACTAAGCGGTTCTTTTCAATTTTTGGGTATTCAGAAAGGGTTGCCTGGTTACAGAGAATGGGGAAATCTCGGGCTATATCGGGTAAGATGTGCCACAGACAGCAATATCACAATGCCACTTGGAGAAAAGGATGGATACAAGTTAACGATGCGCTTTCAATAAAACATTCATAGACTTGTTCACGCTTTGATAATGACCTCATTAAAGGGAGCTGGGGGCACGTAAGTTCTGTCTCCTGTTTGTGTTCGGCTAACAAAACCCAGCTTTGAGATCATTCATCGCTTTGGAAACTAATATGAAATCAATGTAAGAGGAGCAAATAAATCCGAGGCAGCCCAGCCGACTTCCCCGGCTGTCCGGCTTTGCTCGAGGCCTCAGTTTGTAGCTATAGAGGCAAACGCTAAACTAGAGAGGGCAGGGGGGGGGGGAAAGACTGAGGATGTGAAGGGGGGGGAGCCCTTGCCCTGGGGGATACAGAGGACGTGCAAGGTGGGGGTTTTGCCTGAAAAATAAAAAAGACGGGTTAAGCACATCAACAGTTGAGAACTCTGGGGCCTGTTGAAAAAGCCATGCCACTTTACCCGTGGAAAGGAAATTTGGAAGAAAGAAAAGTGAAAAGGGGAATGTGAGGTTCAGGTCAGATTCCATCATAGGCCAGAGGGGGAAGAACTATAAAACCATTTGAAACCTAGAATCCAAGCGTTCAAGTCTCAAGGCTGAACTGGAAGGAACCCAACCAAGAGCCCAGCGGCAAGAAGGTACCCTTGCTCTTTTTACAGCTGCTTTGATTTTTTTTTTTCCTTCTCTAAACTGAGGGCAGGATGAGGGTGCTCAGTCTGGGAATGGGGAAAAAGCAATGCTGTTACCTTTGCATTTGTGATACTGCTTTGCACTCAAGCAAGACAAAGCCAGCCAGCCTCTGCCAGCCTCAGCAAAAGAGAAGGAAGCAAAGGGTTTCCCTCCTCCCCTTAAAAGAACTAATTTTCTCCTTGAATTATGAAAGTAATGGCTAAGGTAACAGCCTGTACTCTGTACCCAGACTGCTTAATACCGAATAAATCCTTCCACGTGGCTCCCTGAGTCCTGGCAATTAGAGCTCATTATAGGCTCATAAGAGCCCTCATTTGGGGGCTTACTTAATGGACAATGAAATTTTATCAGACAGAATCACTGAGAAATAAAATTGTGCGCTGGGGCAAGCACTGTGGGCATGCTGCCCGTGACTAGCCTGCTTGGGAGAAGGCCCCGATGGCATCCTCCTTTGCTCTGAGCAGTTTACAACGCCACTCCAAGGACAATGACTGCAACTCTGCCCAGGTTATAGAGGGTGGGATTGCGGGTGCCTGGGGCATAGGTGGAGCTGACTTCTAGAAGAAAATGGGAGAGGGGGAGACAGAGACCTGGGAGAAAAAGAAAGAGCAAAGTTTATGGGGGGGGGGGTATAGCTCCCAAATACTTGCTCTTCGTGAACCTAAGCAATTAGCAAAAGACTGATGAACAAATTCCTCAGACCACAGAGGAACTCCTAGACTCAGCCTAACCTGAAGCTTCTGTTCTCCTGCACCCCCTTCCCTGGACACCTCACCTCTCTCAAAAATCCCTTGACAGTAGAAGCTGAATGCATCCATAGTCCATCCGACATAAACCAAATAAGATGTAAGCCTCCTGCTTGACTGAGCCCCTAAAATGAATGGGTCTGCACACATGCACCATTTCTAGAACATGAGCAGAGAAATTCTTGGAAGCACACCAGTAGCCCCTGAGAATACTGCCCTGTAAGCACCAGCCACAGAGGACTATATATAACCTACCTGCCAGAAGAGGAAAGAGAAAAGGACTGTTTTCTCAAAGCACCAACCAGTTGACCCCATTGAACAACCTAAGCCTTTAAAAATACTCTTGGGCAGGAGAAATGGCTCAGTTAAGGGCACTTGTTGCTCTTGCAGAGGACCTGGGTACTGTTTCCAGTATGCACACCCATCCACAATTCCAATTCCAGGGGATCTGGTGCCTTCTGGCCTCTGAGGGCACCAGGCACAAATGTGGCACACATACATACATGCAGACGAAACACTCATATATATATGTATATAAAACATTATATATTATATGTAAACATTAATATATAATAAATATTAAAATATTTAATAAATATATTGTATATTATATAATAAAATATATACTAAATATTAAAAAATAAAAAATACCCTGCCATCAAGCCTCTTAATTGTTGAGTTCCAAATACTTTTCTTAAGGTTAGAAGGATTGCAATGCCTGCTGGGCAGGCAATGCCTGCCTTGGATCTTCTCCAGTCAAAGGAGGGAGTGGGCTGGTTAGAGCTGGTCTTGACTGGGTGGGCTGGATGAAAATGAGCATCCTTGAAGGCAGTATAGACAAACCTTGTGATGGAAAAGTAGTTACAAGTGAGCAGCCCCACGCTCTGCCTCAAGACTCCTTAATTGTTGTCACAAGATGTTGGATTAGCACATTTCTGGAATAGCTGTCTATTTACACTCCGGAGACCCACCGTCCACTAACCACTTTCTAATTGAATTCTAATCACATTCAAATAGCTCAATAACCAGCCTCAGCTGCAATTCATAAAACTTTAATTGCCATCCATAAATCCTGGGCTCCCTAGAGCGGGCATCCCTACAACCCAATTATACTCCTCCAGCAGGCAAGAGAGAGGTGGTCACCAAGAAGGGAAAGAGGAAGAGGAAGCAATAGGACTCAGAGTGTCCCCTGTCCTTGGGCACCTCTCAGGTTGAGAGAATCCAGTCTTCAAGTGTCTTGTCATTGTTGTGAACTTACACATGAAGTTAGCCATTTTAGCAAAGGACAGCAAAGAAGCTGCTGGCATCTTTGCCGCCTCGACTTCCCCCCAAATCAAGAGCCTCGGTGGTGGCAGCCACCTTCGCTCACAAGGTGCACAAGTCTTCCTGAGCCACACAAGGAAGTTCTGGTACCAATCCACTCCTCACAGTGGCAGGATTCCTCTATTGGCTGTATCCCCTTCTTCCACTTTAGGATTTGAGGGCCCAAAGAGTATCCGTATTGAGAGAGGTAGGGTGGTATCAGCAAGGGATCACTTAGACCAAGGCCTCCTCCAGTTCCTACCCCAGTCTCTAGGAAGACTGTTTTTGGTCCTCTCCAAATTTTTTGCAGTGGAGTTTGTAGGTTGAGCTTGTAAACTATGTAACTGCTTGGATGAGAAAAGGGAGACTCCTCGTCGTCGTCCCCCCCCTCCCCCCGCCGCCGGCACAGAAGGCTGAATTGCTAATTTAAAAGATGCCCAAGGAAGGGCCCTTGATCTGAGTGGCCTCAAGAGAACCCCAAATACAAAGGTATTTGGAACCTGACGTAGCACGAATCCGGAACGCCCGGTTTCTTAATCGGGAAGTTACCCACCAGATTCGTCCAGTGCGAATGACCTTGGCCAAGTCTAAAAGCTGGGGAGCAAGGACAGGTATGAATGTGGTGGGGATTAGACGGGCCCGACCTTTACTACGCGATCACATACCCTGCTCCAGAACAGAAGTCTTATGCTCTGCTGTGCAGGCAGGGTTGACATGGAGGAGCTTGGCTGCGTGGGGTACCTCAGTTTAAATGGTCTGGAAGTTCCCACCCGGTGCGTTCTGCGTTGGGCCGCGGTGAAGAGTTGGACAGAGGCCCAGGCAAGGGAGAGGGTAGGACTGAGTATAGACCGCTTGAGAAGAGGGGAGAGAGGGTCGATCCCCCAGCAAAATTAGCAAACCCTACACTTTGTGAAGTCTCCCCCTCCCCTGCGTTCTTCCCTGCCCGTCTCCCCCTCCCCGCTTCTGTTGTGACTCGGGCAGCCTATCCCGAGGGTGGGGAGCTGCGGTGAAGCCTGAGCTGAACGGTACTCCGCAGCATCACGTGCCAGGGTGGGGGCTATAAAATCCTGAAGCCGGGGCGCCGGGCGGGGGACGTGAGGACCAACCTTCTCCAGGGACCCCTTTGTTCGAGTCCCAGACGCCGACACCTCCGCGTCCCCAAGGGCTTGACCGCCCGCGTCCTAGTTCTCTAGACAGAGCTCAGATCTCGAAAGGCGAGTGGACGCCGCAGCCCGCGGAACAAGCCATCCATCCCCCGTCGTCATGTCGCGCTCCTTCTATGTGGACTCGCTCATCATCAAGGACTCCTCGCGGCCCGCACCCTCGCTGCCGGAATCGCACCCAGGGCCGGATTTCTTCATTCCGCTAAGCATGCCGTCCCCGTTGGTGATGTCTATGTCGGGGGCCGGCTGCCCGTCCCGCAAAAGCGGCGCTTTCTGCGTGTGCCCGCTTTGCGTCACCTCGCACCTGCATTCCTCTCGCCCGCCCGCAGGAGCCGGTGGCGGTGCAACGGGGACCGTAGGCGCTGCGGTGGCGGGCGCCGGGGCGGCTGGGGGCACCGGCGCCCTACCTCTGCTCAAGAGCCAGTTCTCTTCCGGCCCTGGGGACCCACAGTTTTGCCCACGGGTGAGCCACACACACCATCACCACCACCCGCCCCAGCATCATCATCACCATCATCAGCCCCAGCAGCCGGGCTCAGCGGCGGCGGCGGCGGCTGCTGCTGCTGCGGCAGCGGCGGCCGCAGCGGCCCTGGGACACCCTCAACACCACGCACCTGTCTGCGCCGCCACCACCTACAACGTGTCGGACCCGCGGAGGTTCCACTGCCTCACCATGGGTAGGGCGGGGTACCTGGGTACCTGCGCGCCTCCGGGGAACAAACTTTGCGCCGCCAAGGGAGGAGATGGGGTGGGAAGTGGCGGGAGGTGGAACTTTGTAGAACTGTTGAGTTCATCCCTAGAAATTCCACGGGTTAACTTGTCAACCTCTTGGTGAGGCCTTATGCAGTTCGTTCTACAGGTGCACAAGTGTCGTGTGCTTTCTGGGTTTTTGAGACCTGGATCATGACTTGAGGGAAACCCGAGGTTGACTGACTGAGGTTTGGGGTGGGTGTGTTTGACCTTCAGTATTGCATCTTATCACCTGGGCTGGTTCAAGGGTTTCTATGCTTTTGGCTGAGGCTGCTAGCACTTTCTACTTTGCTAGGCCGGCGGAAGGCTGCAGAGGAGCCCAAGCCCCAGCGCTCCTTAGTTGTTTAGCTTAGAATCCAGCGCACATTGAAGGCCTGAATTCTCAGGGACGTTTCTCTCCCTCCAAGACAGGCTGTAGAATGCGAAACTGGGACGAGCATGGGTGTGTTGGGTTAAAACTGCCCTATCCAATGGTTGGCAAGTAGGGTAGGGAATACCTTTTCTGCACTTCACCTCTACTCTCTTTTGGGTCCGTAGGAGGCTCCGACACCAGCCAGGTACCCAATGGCAAAAGGATGAGGACAGCATTTACCAGCACGCAGCTCCTGGAGCTGGAGCGAGAATTCTCTTCCAACATGTACCTGTCCCGACTCCGAAGAATCGAGATCGCAACGTACCTGAACCTCTCAGAGAAGCAGGTGAAAATCTGGTTTCAGAACCGTCGCGTGAAGCACAAGAAAGAAGGGAAAGGCGCTTCGAGGAACAATCACGCAAGCTGCAAGTGCGTGGGCAGCCAGGCGCACTATGCTCGCTCAGAGGACGAGGACTCCTTGTCCCCAGCCTCGGCTAACGAAGACAAGGAGATTTCTCCCTTGTAAAGGAGGATGCCCCTTCTCAGGCTACCTGCTCCCGGCAGCCCCTGCTGCGTCACAGCACAGGGACCAAAGTTCTAGTTCATTGCCTTCATCCCACCTGGAGAAGGAACTCGGGAAAGTCCAGAGAGTTCAAAACTGAGCCCGACTTTGAAGCTACTTCTTGACTCTTTATTTGGGACTCCACTCAGAGTTGTACATCTTTTTTTTTAATGTAAATAATCTAGAATTCGAGTCAGTCTCATATAACAGGAAAACAGGGTTGATTTAAGTTTAACACTGTATGGAGGGAGTGGGTTGAAACCGCATGTCATTTGCCACCCTTGTCTTTGCAGAACTTGATCAGACGGGGGTTTCTTTATTTTTTTTTGTTGTTGTTGTTCTGTTTTAAAAATGAAACCATTGAAGTTGCCATTAATATAGAATTAAACTCCTTAGGTCTTGTTTTCTGAAATTTTTCATTGAGGGGAAAGTTTTAAATTCAAGTCTCCGGAAGTCCCTTTGTATGTGAATAGTTTTATATAAAATTTATATTTATATTTATTTAAATAAATGAAACAAAATAAATAATTTGTGGTACCTGCTGTCATCCCCCTAACACACACAGCAACCCTACAGACAGACAGTCGTGTGGAGGGTAAGGACTGCAGTCCAGCCGATGGAACTTGGAACTTTAGGTTTTATGCAGAACAGAAACTTCTTATTGAAAGGACAGCGCAGTCCTCATTTGGCACTGCCTGGCTAGGTGGTGCACCTTTCATCAAAGCTGGCGGCAGCACAGCTGGCTGGACAAGGAACTGTCAGAGGGTCACTTTTTATAAAAAGTAGCGGAGAGGCAATGCCATGCCATGCCCATGGTGTTTATGTTTCATTTGTTTGAGAAAGCCGCCTTCCACTCACAGAGATTCTCCTGCCTCTGCCACCCATACCAGGCCCACAGCCAGTTTTTACTTACACTTGATCATAGCCAACCCCCCAAACCCCCCACCCCTGTCTCTTGGGCACTTGCCCCTCTTTTCTGGTCTTTCATCTTGCTCAATACTAAACCAAGAATCCCGTGAAGGAATTCACACAATAGGAGTAGTTTTTAGAAGATCCACAGTCCACCAAGCAAGTCAGCTTACAAGTCAGAGACCTTACAAGTGACTGGAAACTTCAATGAGGCTGCTTGCTGGCTTGTGTAAGTCAGTTAGCTGGAGGTCCTCATGTCCTCAGTGCCAAGGTAGCAAAAAAGGCAGGGACAGAAAAGTGCCTTTTCGAAGAAATGTTTACAATCTCATCTTTCCAAAACAGCCCGAGAGCTATCTGAAGGGTAATACTCTCCTCAGGGGGCGGAGTTGGCTTATTATTTGTGGAAACTTGATCAAGGGTCACCTGAATGTGCCCCAGGGGTTCAGGCCTGCCAAGACTACCTGGCCTAGGTGTCTCAGCCTGGACATGGGTCTGTGGAAGTGACTTCTGAGTGCAAACATCACCCACCAGTGGGACTCCTGGTTATTTGTATAGCCACAAGAACTGTTTAACTTGCTCCCTCTCTCCCTCCCTTCCTCCTTCCCTCCCTCCCTCCTTTCTTCTTTTAGGTCTGATTTATTTTAGTCCAGTCCTCCCCAGCAAAGAAAAAGGGTATGTGATCATCTTGTTTATGAGCTTCACAGTTCCGGGGGTAGTCAGTCTCCTCCCCACCCCTCCACCCCCACCACACACACACCACCGTTCAGCCTTCAGGAACAGGCTCATTTTCAGACCCCATTAGGACACCAAGCCCGGGCAGGCAGGAGGAAGGACCACACAGGGTCCACACCAATGGGGACCCATGGGTCACTTTGTAAGGAGGACTGGGTCTGGTTTTGGGCAGTCGCCCCAAGCCAACTCGTGCTCCTGCTGCGGTAGTCCTGATCTCTGAGACTTTCTCACGAGAGAAAGCAGGAGTTGTCCTGCTGGCTGGGAGGGGATTAGGCACAAACTCGCTGCATTTCCTATTTCCTAAAAACCATATTCCTTCTTTTCCTTTTTTCCTAGGCGATCACAGCGGCCAGTGGGAGGAAAGTCGCTTGTAGGGGCTAGGGACTGGCTTTTGAAGAGGGTAATTCCTTTGTTGGAAGTAAAGAGCGCCTCCACCCCAGGGAATCTCCCCTACAAGTCTACTCCTGCCCAAAGCAATGTCTCTTCTGAGGCGCCCGCCCCATAGACCCCTGCCCCATTCCTTGCTAAGCCCATCCTTGCCAGCTCCCCACTGTCCTGTGTCTGAGTCTAGTCCACACTCAGGTCCCTTGCCAGCATGGAATTCAGTCCCTACCCTAGCTTTGCTGGGCCTCGGGTTGCAGGCCTTGTGAACAGGTCTTGCCACCCCACGCCTACCACTCCTGTGGAGCGGGGCTGCTATCCTGGCTGAGGACTGCCACTGAGTGTGTTTAAAGAATGACACTCCCAGAATTTAGACTCTCACTGTCCAGACTGGGTTAAGAGCGGTTACGCCCACTCTCCAACGCTAGGTTCAAGAACAAAAATAGTCTCCCAGCAATCTTCAGAACAAACACCTTGGGTGCACTGGAGGAGGTTTATGGCATTGGGAGCCAATGTGGGGACCGTCTACTAGGCAGTCGCAGGCTCCAGCTTTCCTCCGGTCCCACTTGAAAACCCACCAAATGCTCTTTATCCTAAGCACAACCTCTCAGAATCCTTAAACACACCCAGAAAAGAGAAATTAAGATATTAAGTAGAAAACAGGAACTTATTTGACTAAAAAGAGGGGGGGTGAGCAAGAACCACGGAAGGTGTTGTATCCAACCAGGAGAACCCTAGGCTGCTGGGAGCTCTAGAGCACAAGGAAGATGACCTTTCACCCCTGTGCCCTGGCTCAATTCAAAGGTGAAAGGAGGAACAAAGACCTTCTCCTTCTCCTCTGGCACCCAGTGACCACCATATGCTCTAGGCCAAGGGCCTGATAGGGATTACATCCCCAGGCAGGGCTTTTCAATTGTAAACCAGGGCAAAAAGGACCCAACAGCTCCTTCTTGGCATGTCAGTGGCCCAGGTAATGGAGACACCGGTGCCAGTAGAGTTATCTTCTCTCAAGTTCTTATTCTCACCCTGTTTGGTTTGAATCACACAGGAGAGCTCTGTTTCTTACTACTTCCTTTCCCAAATAGAAACAGAATTCAGGGAAAAGCAGTCTTCCATTCCTAGCCTCCTCTGCCCCTCCCCACCCCCACTACTTGCCACCGTGTCTATCCAATGTTATCTGATCAGGATGGTGCCAGTTTGCTTAGGCCACACTGACTGGTCAGCCAATTGCCAGGAAGGTGGTAAGTGAAAGTGGTCCCAGGTGGTTAAAGGATTTGTGTGCCCATATGTATGAGCTTGTATGCCAGAGAGGGAGGAACACACACACACACACACACACACACACACCACACACAACCACCCACCCCCCCCCACACAGACAGACAGAGAAAGAGAACCAAGTAGTTGTGGCAGTGTGAATAGAAAGCCAAGAACAAGAAGCAGAAGAATGCTAGGGTTTTTCATTTTCTTTTTCTTTTTATAGCATAGCATCTCTTAGCAGGCTGACTACTAACTGTCCAGGTAGCTGAGGACAACCTCCTCTCTCATGTTCTCCAGTGCTGCCATCATTTGGCTTGTGTGGTATTGGGGCTCGAACCCAGGGCTTTGTACAAGCTCCCACCAGCACCCTGACTAAGTTGCAGATCCAGCTCTTTTAAGAAAAGAAAATTGTCTTCCTTCTTTACCAGCCTCACTCCTTGAGAGATGCCCTTGAAGAAGGTGGGAAGATCCTCAGGAAAGCTGGGGCTGGGGGGGGGGGGCTGCTGCTCAACACTGAAGAGAGAGAGAGAGAGAGAGAGAGAGAGAGAGAGAGAGAGAGAGAGAGAGAGAGGAGAATTCTGGGAAAGGAGCTTCAGCCCAGCCTTTAGGATGGGAGGAAGAGAATGACACTTCCAACTGAACCCATTTGCTAGAGGAAATTGGGTTTAAAGGAGCAATCACGTCTTTAAAAGGAGCCCCTCCCACCTTCCCTAAACAGCAAGCTGTCCCAGAGGATGAATGCGGGCTCGTGCATCAGAGCAATTGTTCCTATTTTCATTATTCACAGAGAATCTTTGAATGTACCTGTTAAGGTGACAGACCTTTTCAAAGGGAACAATTTTTTCCATGCAATTAATTGGTGCATTTACTAGGTTTCTATTAACATAATTTAATATAAATCTATTTTATAAATCTTTAGGCTCACATTACTGAAATTGAGCTCTTTTTAGAAAAAAAAAAAGTGCCCACAGATGCCTCTTTCTTAAATTAGACAGAATGAAATCCAAAATCTTGCTGTTCTAAGCCAGTTAGAAATAAGAACTGGCAGAAGAGCCTTTTGTATTGTCTTTGTTAATGGGGGGTGGGGGGATCCGTGGCCCAGCCAGAGCTCTGCCACTTAGAGGCTGCTACTTGAAGGGGCTAAGTCAAGCTGAGTTTGAGCCAGGCCAGAAGAGAGTAGGAACTTAAAGATGTGTCTTAGGAACACAGTTGAATCAGAGCTCAGATGAAAATCAAACAACAAAGACAAAACAGCAACAACCCAACTTCAGAAGAGACCTGAAAGTAAGTTTCTTCTATCTGGAGAAAGAAACCTGAAGTTCGTAATGGCGCTCTATGGTACATTCATAACCTTGACTCCTTAAGTTCAAGTGCATTCTCCAAAATTAGGGGGTCCAAATAAAAACAGGGTTTGTGTTTCTCTGGTGTATTGATTTCGGGAAGGCCCCCTCTCCACCGGGTTTTATTCTTCTCCCACCTGAGCCCTGTTTTCTCCAACCCAATTGTATTTTGGTGAACTTTCCCAATCCCAAACAGTGGAAGACCCGGGGGCTCCCCCTCAGAGAATCTGGACAGATCGGAAGTGTGTGCAGTGCGCCTACGGAAAGTAACTAGTTTCAGATTAATGAAGCACTGACAATTTCAATCTGCTTAAAGGCGGGGGTTGGCACTGCCCAGGCCCA